AGAGGTCCTAAGACTCCAGCAGTAAACTGGTAGTGAGAATACAAAGATTGGTATACTCTGAAGAAATCATCAAGGGACAAGTTTTCTGGGAATAAGAGGGTAGAGCTCTACATAGCATATTTATTTGTGGCTAGGAATTGAATCAGTAGAAGATGACATCATTTATAAAGGTAGGAATAAAAGGAAGCACCAACATCCACTTGGCATCTTGGTGTTAAGAGGAAAGAAGTGCATAGATCTGAATATTTTAAAAATTCTTAGTATAAAGCAAATGGCTTGATTTCTTTTTTAATCAATTGATATCTCCCTTTTAATCCCCAAGCTGTAAAATTGAAAGAAATACTTAATTTATAAGAAGCTTAGGATAATGATATTTATCATCAAGTTAGATTGTTTCTACTTAAAAAGAAAAAGAAAAGTGAAAAGAATTCAGCCCACAGAGCGAAAGAATACTCTCTCTTTGGACTATCTAGGGGCCCTCTCTCCTTTCAGCACTGACTCCATGATCAGGGAATTGTTTCTAATATAAATGGATACTCCAAGGTTAGGCCAGCCCAGAGGTACAGTGGATATAGTCTTGCAGTTTTAGGCTGGGTAGGCCATCTGTTTCTTAATTAAATGTACTGTGGGTTTTCAGAGTTAACCAAAAAAAAAAAAAAAAAGAAAAAATGGAGTTAAAAGATAACAGAAGCTTTCCACAAAGTGTTGATGCCCACTCATGCAACTGCTAAATTCATAGCAGAAATGGTTTATGAGGTCATGCTTGCGGACAGGTCATCTTTTAAAACAGGAAGACTAAAGTCTGTGACTACGCAATGACAACCCAAGGGGAAATCCCTCAAATGTCAAGAAAACAAGATGTAGAAGATTGTCCTAACTTCCAAAAACAGTCACTCTTAGCTCATCGAAATTGAGCCATATTTACAAAATACTATTTGAGTCTTTCATCAAACCTTACTCAGTTCTTAACCCAAAGGCTGATGTTGTAAACCCACCCAGCCGCTCCTCAGGAGAAAGACCTGGAGATTTGCCCCCAAAAAGATCATAAGCAAGAAAATTTTTTGGAGAATTCCTACTCTGTTCCCATAGACTCAATGGTACTTAACGATAATGTTCTCATTTCTTTTAGATTTATTTTATGTCAACAGCACCCAAAAGAGATTCTGACTTGGTTGACACTTGGTTTAATGGCTTTAATTACAATGTGGATAAGATACGTCAACACACGACTATCTGTACATACATTAAAATTATTTGAGCCAAGATATTATACCTAAAAGCCTTCTTATGCACAACTGATCCTGGCTTTTGTAATAAAACTCTGTCCTATATCTTTATGGAAGTGAGTTTTAAGAGTTGCAATTGCATTAACATATTTATAAATGAAGAACATGGTTTACATAAGCAGGGATATTTTGTTTACTGACAAAGAACAAGTGAAAAACTCATTCAAGGGAAACAGTAAAGTACATTTCTAAGATGTTAATGTAGTTTTAAAAAATGACTGTTTTTCATAAATTCTTCCAGCATAAAGGGCCCCCTGTAATTTTCATTGAGTTGGGCCTTGTGCATACAGGTCAGCACGCAGAGTAATTCTTCCTTTGTAACACTTCTCCCAAGACATCTCACAATGCCACAGACAATAGAATGATTCTTTGGCTGGTTGCAGCTCTGAGCAAAATTCATAGCAAGATCAATTTTCACAGTGTATAACTCTTGCTGATGGGGATACAGGGGGAAATAAAGGCAGTGAAATGACAGGTTGACTGAGGATCACTGGCATAACAGCTGAAAATTTAAAAACTGCATAATTTGTCATTACAATGTAAGAAGAGATCTGTGCTCTAAAATATGAATATTTTGCTCTTGTTGGTATGGGAGAGGGTTTGAGGATCTATTTTTTAAAAAGCAAAAACAATTTCACTCTAAGTGACATTATAAAAGTCTAATCTTTGTGAAAATTATCCATATTTGCAGTAAATCACCAATATGGGAGTTTATATTAAATGGCTTCTTCTGCATCATTTTGTGAGTCTTGGTGCACCAGGGTTAAATACTTGGCTGCTAACTCAAAAGTCAAAAGTTCAAATCCACCCACCCACTGCCAGGTTATGGTTGTAAATCAACTTGGTTGGGCCAGGATTCTCAGAGGTTGATAATTAGGATCTAGTAATCACCCAAGATGTGACTTTCCACAGTGCCATGACTTCCATAATGGGATCTGCTATGAAGAGCCAATCGTTTGTAAGAAGATCAGCGTGGCATTCCATACAGTTCCTCAGAACACAGCCCTGATGCTGTCAATTGGAAGGAGTGTGGCCTGGTCCTAGTAAACAGTGACTCTCCAGAAGACTGCTTGCTTTTTGCTAGGTCTGAATGTTGCATCTCAGCCATCAACTTCTAGCTCTTTGCACTTGAGACAATGGCCTGCCAGGTTGCCTCCAATCCTGGAAGTCATCATGAAGTCATCAGCAGTCTGCCATTTGACCTCTGACCTAGGATTCATTCCCATCTGCAGACACAAACCTGACTTACTGACTTGAAATTCACTCATCTCTACCTCTCCCCGCCTGTCAAACTTGGGTTCATTAGCCCCAGAGCTACTTGAATCAAGGGAAGCAGTCAGCCAGGATCTAACCTGTCCACACTTGGACTTGCCTACTTCTACAACAAAGTGAGCCATTTTCTTGATTTAAATTTCTATCTAAATAAATAAGGCTCACTGGTCTTGCTTTTCTGGAGAATCTTGTCTAAGATAGGCTATACAGGACACAAGATCTGGCTATCTACTCTCAGAAAGGTTCCAGCCTATGAAATCTTACGGGACAATCCTTCCCTGTTCTTCAGGAGCAGTAATGTTGGAATGGACTTGGTGGCACACAGCTATGTGTCAGGAAGATCACAGAACCGCGTTTAGAATCATATGGAAACGACAAAGATGTAAGGAGAGGCAAGGAACTGGTACCTTTCTCTTTTCACGAAACTATCCTGGTGGCATAGTGTTGGGCTGCTAACTGGAAGGTTCAAAACCACTAACCACTTTTCAGGGGGAAAACGGCTTTCTACTCCCAGAAAGAGTTACAGAGTCAGAAACCCACAGCGAAAGTAATACCCTGTCTTCTGTGGTTGTTGAATCAACATCGAATAAAGGGCATCAAATTTGACACTTGGATCCTTTCGTGGTCTTCCACGAAATGACTCACAATTTACCCACCAAAATCCACTCAATTTTCTTTCAAGGTTTGGTGATGACATGATGCGTGTAAAATAATGTTGGATACATAGATTATGTCTTGGGTTTTGATTTTCTTAGAGAATTGAAGCTACATGATAAATGTATAAAAAGCATATTAGCATTAGTCAAACAAGTAAGCCATGCATGATCCTAGACCCTCTGGGTGAGCTGACTTCTTCTTTCAAACTTCTACCCTCCCCTATTAAGGAGGCATGATTAACTAATTCAGTTACAAACAGCCAAAGTTAGTGGTAATGTTAATTACAATCTTCAACTGGGATGTGAAAGGAGTACACCTGTTTGCTATATCCTGCATATGAAAAATGGTAGATACTTCCCAACTTCATAATGTTTCTATAGGTGTTATAGTAAATTACATACTGGGTTGATCCTCTCAAGGTCAGCAGTTCAAAACCAGTAGCCACTCCATGGGAGAAGGATGAGGCATTCTACTCTAAAGATTGATAGCCTGACAACGCCACGGGGGCATTCCTTCCGTGTCCCATAGGGTTGCTATGAATCAGAATTGATTCAATAGCAATGAGTTCGCTTGGGGGGGGGCGGGTAGGAAAATGTGTGTAGTATTATTGGAAGGATCAGGATGTTGAATGGGATAAATCATACAAGATTTAGAACACATGGAGTTGGAGGAGCCTTGGTGGTGTGGTGGTTTTGTGCTGGGCACCAGTTAGCTACACAGGGGGAAGATGATGCTTTCTACTCCATAAAGAGTTGGACTTTTGGAAATATATACAGGGGCAGTTCCGCTCTGTCCTATAAGATCCCTATGAGTCAGCATAGATTCAGTGGCAGTGAAAATCTGATAGTAGTCATTTTACAGGGAAGAGCAGCATGTACATTACCTAACATCACTAATCATGGTCACAGAATGAGCCCAAGTTTTCATGCAGGATGAACTGATGTAGTAGTCACCTAATCTGGTTTCAATTTAAGGATGAAGCATGTAGGGGTGGAGTCTAGGCGGCCAATCTAGAGATAGCCAATGAGACTTCTGTGTGGGCATTCCTTCTCCTGAGAATTCTGGGAAATCTAGTACTTCCTCCTTGGGGTCAGAAGACGCCTCTCTCTCTCTGCTACTCCCTGGGACCCCTGAAGCTGGAGAAGCTACAGAGAGACCTCTGCCAGCACTGAGATGCTTACAAGGCCACTGGACCCAAAGACTTCCTACCCACTGGCTTGTGATCATCCTGCATTTGGCTTCATGGCATGAGTCTGAAGAGGACTTTATCAATTGGTATCAGACATATGGGCTAATATCAGATTTATGGCCTTGGGCTGGACTGAGTTGGGATGTTTTCTCAGTGTTCAATTGCTCTTGTATATAAATTTCTTTCTTATACACATATGTGTGTCCATGGATTTGTTTCTCTAGTCTATCCAGACTAACACAACTGACATCCATGCTTTTTGTTTGGCAGAGGCAGAAAGTAGACACATAAAAGCATAAGAAGAACTATATTCCCATTTCTGGCAGCAGAGGAGACCCATGCTTTTCTTATTCAGAGTCAGTAATATCACTTTGGAAAGCATTTGGGCAGTTCTCCGTGACTAATTTACAAGAAAGTTGTATATACCGTATATATTCGAGTATAAGCTGACCCGAATATCGGCCATGGCACCTAATTTTACCACAAAAACTGCATTAAAAATGTGCTGAAAAAATGTGGCTTATCTCCGAGTATATACAGTATGTCTTTTCATTCTTTTTGCAGCTTGTAGCCAGCGTTGAGAATTCCACGGATCGTTAATTAAGACGATCTGAGTAAATGCGCTGCAGCGCTGCACAGTCAGAAAGGTCTGTGCACTTGAGCCCCAGTGTCAGCTGGGAAAGTGCTGGTTCATGAGCAACTGGCCTTGTGAACAAGTAGCCTTTTTCTTGTACCTGTCAATGGAAAAGAGCGAAACAGACTCTAAGCTGAAGACACTGTACTAAACGCTTCCTGTTGCCATTTATAATTGAACTAGCTTTCAACGTTATATAATTAACAGGAAATTCAAGAATCTCCTGAGATGAGCAGGTGGTGGAAAGCTTTGGCCTCCATCATTCTGTTGCACGGCATTTCTGAAACAAGGCCCGTGGAATAAAAACATGCGGTAGGTCATTTCAAGGAACCCGAAGAGCACACTGGGTAAGTGTTCCGGAGCTAACTAAAAGCTTGGTGGTTCAAGCCCACCAGCAGTCAGTGGGAGAAAAGACCTGTTGATCTGCTTCTATAAAGATTACATCCTAGGAAACCTGAGGGAGCAGTTCCATCTGGCCCATAGGATCACGATGAATCACAATCAACAACAGAAGCCACATGGGACTCTGACATTCAGCTCTTAGACCGAGTCTGTATTTCCACATTACCAACTGTATTTTGGGTAGCTTAACAGTTCTACATTGGGCTGCTGACCATAAGGTTGAGTAGTTCAAAACTACCCGTCACTTTGCAGGAGAAAAATGAGGTTTTCTACTCCCATGAAAAGTTACAGTCTGAAACCTCAGGGGCAATTCTACCTTGCACTATACGGTCAGCCCTGTGGCCCTGCGTGAGACCATGACAACTAGTTAACCCATCAGATACTGGGATATAAATAAACAAAACATAATTGAGACCTTTTTTCAAAGTTTAATTATGTTCAATAGAGTAGATATCCTAGTAGGAATACAAAAATTGGTCCAAAGCATATCCTTCGGTTGAAAGATTGTAAAGCAGATCTACTTTTCCACCCCAAAGGGACTCAAAATTACATCAGACTTCCAGACCCCTAGTTCATGGCCAGTCAGAGAACAGAGCTTCTCCCATCACTACCATCCCTTCTAGTGCCAAACGGATGCCTGACCTGATTGCCTTTCTTGCCTCATCCTTCCCATGAACAAGCTTTAGCCTAAATTCGTTACCCAGCCAAAGGCTTACCCGCCCCCCTCCTGTGTCAGCATTCAGCACCTGTCCCTCTTGCATTCACCTTTTAGAGAGTCCTGCTGGGGATGGAGGACCACCCCCTGATATGTCTGCCAAGGGCCATATTACAGTATTTGACAACACCCCATTTTCTTGAGGCTGCATGAAAAATTTGAGGAAGCCAGGCAATACCAATTTCTTCAGACACTCTTAGGAGACTGTTTTAGGCACCTGGCATTTATTACCCAATCAATTCCATCCAGTGGAAGTGCCAAGTTTCTTCCCCAAGAGTGACGACTGTGTGGCAGAAGATCAAGCACTCTTTCTGCCCACTGGCATCTGAGTAATTGTCGTGGCCACTCATCAGACCGAGTTACCTTCTCAAGGCAAAGTCACCTACCCCAGACATCATAAATTGGATGTAACCATGAGAATCTCAATGTTATCCAAGCGGGTACTTAAAAGACTACTCTACAAAAGATGCCAATACTAATGTAACCATACATGTATAGGCCCTAATCTTAAATTCTGACATTATCAACCAAATGGTGTAATGTAGTTTAAAGCACGAAGGGTCACAAGTAGATGAAACCTTAATTTAGACTGCATTCCTTGACTTTCTCTCTAATTCTGCTCTAAGTAAAAGGGAAGGCGCTAAGTATGACTTTATTCTATTATCTCTTGTCAAGGAATAGAGTTTGGTCCAACAGGGCCCTTAGTATTACTTGATGATGTCGATGGACTTCTCCTACAACAAGAATCTATTTGATCGTAGACTTGGGACAGGAAGTAGTTGATAACATTGGAATGTCCCAAGTCATGAATTTTTAAATTGAGATGAACCGAAATGTGGTTGATTTACATGAAAAATACCCGCCTCTTCCACCTCTGATATTCTTTGGGCCCATAAATGCTGTTACTTATGAGGGTTGCTACGTGAGGGGGCCTAGAGCATACTGATTTAATTCAATTACCTCTCAAAGAAGATTTATCATTCCTCTCTGATGAAGTTTTTCCAGTTTTACTTTTCACAAAAATATTTCCTCTGCTCACACATACTCAATGAATTTTTATGTGAGATATTCTACCACTTTCACAACCTGCCACTCTTTCCAGCCACCTCAGAAAGCTAACAGTTGGCCCTGAAATTCTGTGCAAACGAGCCCCTTCAGCTGAGGCGAAATCTTTTCTGGCTTCATAGAGAGCGAATGGACCTGCCAGAAGATGGAAGATTACTCTTAGTGAATCACAAATGTTCCCACTGCTTTTGTGTGTGTATGTGCATGTGCATGTTTGTGGCATGTTTGCACGACCTAGTCATTTGTGAGATATTCTGTTATCGTCTACTGTCCACACACTTTCTACGTTCTGCAATGGGACACTTTCTAAGGACTCCAGTGTGATGCCTAAATTAGCAAATGCTTATTCAGGGCTTCGGGCACCCTGTGTTTCAGACATTGAGCAAGATGCTTTCATATGCTCTATTTTACTGTGATAAGCAAGAAGCCACAGTGCTTCAGGATTCCTGGTTCTCATTTTGGATGATCTTGCCATGCTGTTTAACATCCACAAACGTTTGTAACAGGTGCAGGTATAATTACTGCATGGAAGTTAGAGTGTCAGGACAGGCTTCCTAGCCAAGGTCAAATATGGCGTACTTGTAATGCCATAGAAACCTCCAGCTGCCTTTAGAAATTCATGCGGGCTCACATTTATTTGGATTATTGTCTCCTAATAGGGAAATTTTAAGAGATTTGTTTATTTGTTTTCATAAAACTACTTATTCCTTAGATGGGCATAAAGTATTCAATAGAGAAAACTTATATGCCAAACACAAGAAGACAGCCAGTGCCTTGATGTACCTGAAGACGTTTCAGGAGACGAGCATTATATCTCTCAGAGATTCATTTATTGTTATCATTTTAGGGAAATTAGGTATTGTCCTGACAAGAGTTTATGACTTTTAATTCCTTGTGAAACTCCTGGACCATACCTGGGACACTGCATTAGCAGAATGCATATTACTTTTTAAAAATGGAGTGGACCCAGTTTCGATGTATTCAAAATTATTAGTATTCTGATTTTTTCTTAGATTGAGGTCTTCATTGTATATGATCACTGCTTCTGGGTCCTTTCTATGGTTTGTATATTTTTCGTTATAGAGAAGCCATTATAGGTGGACATTTGAAGACAGTAACTGAATTAATCATTACCTGGGGCACAAAAGGGGAGGGGGATAAGGAGTCAACGCCAAGGACACAAGAAGGAAAAAAAGGCTCCAAAGTTGATAGTGGTGATGACTGAACAACCCTTCTCAATATGACTGAACTGTTGAATTATATAATGTGAATTATAAATCAATAAAACGATTAAAAATAGAATTAGATGTGGCTCAGTGTTTTATTATGTCCCATTACATGGAAGAGAGATGGCCGTGGGTGTACTTACAGGATCAGGGTTCCCTTTTCTCATCTACCATTCTTGCTGTTGGGAGGGGCCGGCGAGTCGGTTCTGACAGAAAGAAACCCTGGCTGGTCCTGTACCACCTCCGCAACCTCTGCTGTGCGGGCCGCGGGCCGCCCGGCGATGTCAATCATCTGTGGAAGGCCTTCCCTCTTCTTCACGCCCCTCCACTTGACCAAGCACGATGTCCTTCCCCAACAAGACCAACGTGTCTAAAGGACACGAGGCAAAGTCTTATCATCATCCGCATGTTTAAGACCCATTCTTACTCTACTTCTTTCAGAACAAATGGGCTTGTTTTTCTGGAAGCCCAAGACAAACGTAATGTTCGTAGCCAACCCCATAATTCAAAGGCACCAACTACTTTCCAGTCTCCCTTATTGACTGTCCACTTTCACATGGATATGAAGCAATTAAAAAGACTGCAGCAGGCACACCGTAATCCTCAAAGTAACGTCTTTTGCAATAGATTTCTTCAAGAGAATAATAATAAAATTTACAGTCTCGGGTTGTCATGTACTGTAAATGAGGAAATATGTGTAAAGCACAATTTAAGCAGTAAATAGATGAAACCAATGTAATCAATAACAGATTATTATTTATTATATCAGTCATGTTATTATTCGAGACCACCAATGACTCGATTAAGCAGATCACAAAATCATGACTGAATTGGCGCTTTAAGAAACTTTATCAATGAAGAAATGGTCATGTGAAATAGGAAGAATTTGTTAAGGAGAAAGCAGTATAAATTTGCTTCATTTTTCAATGTCACTAGATAGGGAAGATAGAGCAAATGCGTTCAAATTCCGATGATCAGACAGAGCTTCTGTAAATTTCTCAAGGGCAAGGATAGAAATATCTTCATCTTTATAGGAAGGTATAAATACACAACTCTAAATGGAAAAATAGTTACAAACATTAATACAGTCATCAAAGACACTGAATGTAACATGTTAGGTCATAGATTTGAATGATTACAGATAGCATGAACAGTCAGGTATGGTACCCCTCTAAGACACACCTGCCCCATAGGGTTTCCGAGGCTGTGCATCCTTGTGGAAGTCGACTGTGACATATTTCTTCGGTGGAGGGACTGACGGGTTCAAAGCTCCAATCATTCACTTAGTAGCTGAATATTTTAACCACTGGACCACCAAGACTCCTTTATAAGCTCACAGAAAGGAGATCACAATATTTACATGTTGGAATGAGGAGTTAAATCAAACAAGGGGCAATTTTGATTAAATACATAATATAATTTAAAACCCCAAGTTAAGAAAAGAGCCACTACTGTGGAGTACATTCTGAGGCCGAGCAATCCTACCGAGGGTGTCCAAGGCTACCCATTTCCACAGGAACTGAGAAGCTCATCTTTCCCTGGTGGAGCAGCTGGTGGGTTTGAACAGCTAACCTTGCTTGGGGTAAACAGTCCAACATTGACCTGACAGAGCCACCAATATAGGAATACATTTTGGAATACATTTGAAGCCTTAATTGGCCATAAGATCAACACAAGCCACAAGTGTGACGT